CTTAAATTTTGTCGCAAGACTTGGTGCTTCTATTGACAGTACTTCTATGACCTTTTTTGGGGGGAGGTTTTTTTGAGAATTTTTTCTTGTACAAATGAATGACTGTAACATAACTTGAGTTTAGAAAGTAATCTTTCTAGAATTGTCTATCGATTTATTCGTGCTCCAATGTCATCATTATATATGTAGCCCCCACAGCGCCCGCCATTACAAAAAAAAGCATAAGCCCAAAAGGTATATTTTACATATTATATAATTAATTTCCCAAGCCCGTAGCTTCTCCGTTGATTCGCGATACCTGCTGCTTTGGTTTTGCACCACGGGAGCGTTCTCTTTTACCAACACGCCCCTCTTCATCTAGCCTTCGTGCAATGCTGGGATCTTTTCGTGGCCAATCCCGAGCTATGTCAATCTTGCTTCTGGGCCACCAGAACTCCAGAAACTGGTTGGGGAATTGTTAGATTCTAGTTGGGACCTTCGAAATCGAGGAGGGAACTTACAACTAAAATTAGACAGTCCACTATCACACAGATAACGAAGAGCTTTCCAGCCCACACACCACACCCATAATATCTTTTCAACCGGTCCATCAGATCTAATTGCTCCGTCCTACATATACCATCGTAGACACGCTCTGTACGCATTGCAACATTGGTCCAGGAGTACATTCGTTTAACTGTCCCATGAAAGCTAGAAGTCTTGATAGAGCCACGCCGCATCATGCTTATTGCCCGGCAGGTGGCGTTAACAATGTCGTCTTCTTCCGGCTTCGCAAACTTCGTCATCTTTGATGGTAGAACTTCGGGTATACCGCCAACTTCTGTGCAAACCACATACAACCCACAACTAGCTGCCTCGACGATGACCGTTCCAAATGCCTCTGTAAGTGATGGGTGTAGATATATATGGCCACGCACCATGACGTCTCGAACTTCCTCATGCCGTACTGGACCAATCATCTCCACGCGATCCTGAAGCATATACTTCTCAACCATTTGTTCGAGATCGATAGCCTTCGGTCCCGATCCTGCAATAAGGAAATGTACAGTTGGGTGTATCTCACAAATGCGTGGTATTGCGGCTACGAGAAGATCGGTGCCTTTGTTATAGAAGAGCCGGGATATTACAACTATAGTTATGTGGTCTTTTGATGCTTTGGAGGGGTCCGGCCGAAAGTTCTCCGCCACAACAGCATTAGGTATTACAGAAACAGATGACGGGTCAAGAGAAGCCCTTAGTACGGTATTTTCTTTGCTTGGAAAAATGAGTAATCTGATTTTAAAAATGAGTGAGAATATATGATACCAGGTGTGTGAAACGCAGATGACGTGGTCAACGTCACTCAACGTAAACTTCAATAATTTGTTCGTAAGGATACTGGCAGCATCCGCAAATCCAAATAGCGAATGGTCCGTAAAGCACGTCCGCAGTCCCATGGTTCGCGCATGTAGGATTGCCTCGTGGCATAAGCTGCTCAGACTGGCATGGCCATGTACTATCTGTATCCGTTCTCGTAATAATATCTGCCTAAGAATAGGAAAAAACGAGAAAACCGTCGGCATAGTGGTCTCTCGATATATAACTTTAAATGGTACGTAGTAAAGCTTAAGTCCATTTGTTAGGTAGCGCACCCCGTGCCGCGTGTCGTAGCTATGGGTTATGATGATAACCTTGTGACCTCGATCTGATAGCTTAGACGCCAGCTGGTAGATGTGCGATTCTACCCCGCCTGGAGTAGAAGGACGAGATTAGCGGTGAGTGAGAGGAGAGATGCGGTGTCGAAACGAACCCGGCTGGGGGTAAAAGAAGTCGCTGACCATTCTGTAAACTCTCTGTCAGTACTATACCTCCACACAACAGAACGAGAGCTTACGCAATATTGTAGGTCATGTCGGGCTCGAGTTATCGAAAGGCTTCCTCTCCTTCTTGAGAAGACGGGAGATTCCGTCTAAGGAGGTTACAAGTGGTCAAAGCTCTTGCAGGGATTGTGTAGAGCCGCACGCTATTGGCTCAACTTTTTTCCGACAAATACCAAATTTAACCTCAACATCACCGAAAATGTCGGCAAAATTTTACAACAGATATGTGCCGCCGACGCCGACGGCGGGGTCGTCAGACCCATCTCCAGATAAAACAACCCAGTTTGTCGCGAATCTACAAAAACGGAAGAGAGCGGAACATGAGGACACAATAATGGAGAAAAATGACCCGGAGGAGAAGAAGCGGGGGAAGAAAATGCGGAATTCACAGACTACAAAAGAGTCGGAAAGAGTTGGAAAGAGTTCTAAGCGGAAGGACAAGAAAGAGAAGATGGTAGACGAAGAGGGCGAACCGAATCCTGGGACGGAGACAAATTCCACAAAAAAAACGAAGGATAAGAAGGACAAGAAAGAGAGAAAAAAGGCGAAAGAGGTGGCTGTGGAGAGTGATGGGGAGGACGGGAAGCCGTTGATACAAGAAGAGAAACCTAAGAAACGGAAGAAGGAGAAAGAGAAGACAGCAGATGCAGTTGATGTCGAAATGGAGGAAGCTCCGAAGGTAGACACACAGGTTACAGAAACAAAAAATTCATCATCCAAAAGCGCCAAATTAAACGCGCCTGTTGACGTATCCTCGGAGCCAGAGGCAGGCACAGGCCATTCCCGTATCCTCCAAAAGCTCAGAAAGTCTCTCGCCCGTTCTGCTGCCGTAGCAAAAGCAGCACCAGAACCGGCAGAAGGCAGCTCATTGCCACAAGGGGAGCAAGTAGCACCTGTTGGTCTACAGTCACTCCCTCAACCAGCGCCTGTAACGGAGTCAAAGCCGATATCTGCGTTCTCATCCTTACCATTATGGCTTCAGAAGCCAGTCACTGTGGCACCTACTGCAAAAGCTCCGTTCTCTGAAATCGAAAGCCTATCGCCTAAACTTATTGAGAAGTTACTATCTCGAGATATCACAGAAGCCTTTGCTGTACAATCCGCAGTACTTCCGATATTGTTGAGAAAAGCTGATGGTGACGTTTGCATTTCTGCAGCAACTGGGTCTGGAAAGACGCTGGCTTATGTCTTACCCGTGATTCAATCATTACTAAACCGATGTGTCATTCGTCTACGTGCAATAATTGTTGTGCCTACTCGAGAACTTGTGCAGCAAGTAAATAATACCGCTACATCACTTATTTCAGGCACAGGTTTAAAGATAGGTGTTGCAAGTGGCTCTAAGGCTTTATCAATTGAGCAAGCAATGCTTATATCAAACGAAGATGGAGAAACAAACAGTAAAGTGGACATACTAATTACGACCCCAGGAAGATTGGTTGAACACGTGCGCTCTACGCCCGGTTTTGATCTTGCACATGTTAAGTGGCTAGTAATCGACGAAGCAGATAGGTTACTTGCACAAAGTTTTCAGGAATGGGTAGACGTAGTAATTGGTGGTCTCGAAAAGGCTGCAGAAAGAGTAATGATAACACAAGTTGGTGGCATGAATCTCAGCGATATTGGATTGACACCCATGAGGCATTATACTAGAAAAGTAGTGCTTTCTGCAACAATGACCCGGGACGTGGGGAAGCTAGCAGAACTGAGATTACGGAGACCTACACTGGTTGTAGTAGAAGATCCACCACTACCGGATGGTGCCATATTAGATGATGGAAAGGCTGAAAATGAGCTTGAAGAACAATTCTCGGTGCCTGCGGGATTACGGGAACATGTTATTCCTGTGGAAAATATCGAGCTTAAACCACTCTGCTTGATGTATCTTCTTCAAAACAAAGGCATCAAAACTGGAGCACTAGTCTTTGTTAAAAGCAACGAGGGAGCCGCACGACTAGCAAAACTCCTTGAAACCGTTGGCGAAAAGAGCACCAACAAGTGGAATGTGGGTCTTGTGACCGGGGAGATGGAAAAGAAACGTCGAGAAAAGGTTCTCAAACGTTTCGCCAAAGGCGAGGTTGATCTGTATGTTTGACTCTATCAGCGACTCTTGTCATTTTACTAACATGTTTCAGTTTGATTTGCTCTGATTTGATCTCTCGTGGCCTTGATCTACCACACGTAAGGCATATTGTGAATTATGACATCCCAGCATCAACAAGGGCGTATATACATCGTGTAGGCCGGACGGCTAGAGCTGGTAAAGAGGGCGATGCTTGGACACTATTGAGCGATAAGGAAGCCAGGTGGTTTTGGGGGAATATAGGGAAAAATATACGGAGATCTACTGCGTTAGCCAAGGTGTCAGTAGACGTTGAAATGGAAGGATACGGACTGAGGGGCATATATGAAAGTGTATTATATGGTGCTAGGTAGTGGGAGGTGTGAGGATTTATTAATGTGCGTGGGATTATTTTTGATTATACCATTATAATGCATCTGTAACATGTCGACAAATCCAAAAAAAGATTCTGAAGAGCTCTATTATTATTACAGGAGTTTCAGGCTAGTCGATACAGTCGAAACTCTACTTATGGCCAATGCCCGATTTCAGAAAAGACGTCTCTCGAGATCCAATTCGAAAATAACAGGCTTTTCACATCGTTTTGTATTTGCAAAAACTATGAAATTGAGCTCAAGAAAGAACGATAATTGAAAATTGATCACAAAGGTCTGTTCTGAGATGGAACACCTGTAAAGTGCTTGAAGGGGATGAAAGAGAATTTGATTTCTAGGGTGCTTATTGCTTAATACAGTCGGTCCTACTCTTTGTCCCATCTTTTTCAGCTTGTGGTGTATGAGTTTCTCTTTCCCTTTACACCTTTCCTGTCTATAATACTAATTGACACAAAATATGTAATTCTCTATATTGTTGATCCATTCATTCTTTCCCTCAGTAAGTTATGCCCGGCACAGCATATTTCAAATATCGTCTCCACGTGGGATAAATATATGTATGTCAGGAACAACCTACACTCATTTGAAGTTCAAGTAAATTGCTTTTTGGGTGTTCTGAAATTTTTTGTTACTGACGGATGTACTTTATAGCTACTAGATGCGTGAATGTGACATCAAATATCTAGTCCCGTGGCGCAGTGGTAGCGCGTCGCTCTTATATGGGAATCTCAGTTTCTGGGTCTTGTATGTTAAAAAATGCGAAAGTCGCGGGTTCGACCCCCGCCGGGACTACTTCTTTTGCCAATTCAGATGAGGTATCTGTTTTTTGTTGTTCCTGGCTTAGAAATGATTTGTATACATACATAAGTTTGTAGGGGGCGCTCATTAGTATCGATATCTGTGAGTAATAAATACCTAGTTTATTAGACGGCTTGGATACCTAATAGCTACGGTGTTGACTTAATTAAGAGTAGCATAGAAGAAGATAAGCCACGTCGGGACATGAAATCTCACAGAAGGCTTGCCTAAAGTGGTGGCCTATGGCTTTGTTAGTCTCGTACCCAATAAGCAGTGGTTGCTCATACCTCGCTTGGTAGGACACGATATCAGACCGTAAGCCTAAATATTGGATTTACAGGACTCGACACCAGACTTAGTTATAGAAATTTAAAGAAGGTCAGGCAGCTCTAGCCTCCGCGCCCAATCATCTTGAAGCTAAAGACTCAGTAACAAGTTTATCCGGTGAGCTACTGGTGGTGAGGTTCCGCTGTACGACTTATTCTGGGGGGCTGGCTGCAAACAGCGAGGTTTGGCTATGAAAAATGGGTAGTGAGTATATTGGAATTATTGGGGTTATCAGCGGACCCAGGTCTAGGTTATGGGGAATGGCCTTCTGGTAAATTTCATGCCCGGACCCGGGGTTTTGATTAACGGGAACGTTCTTTCTGATATTAGCTTAGCCAGAGTTATTATATCTATAACCTTTTTGTTAAACTGAGAAAATCCACAGCTAATATACTAACATTTATTTCGTTGGCCTGAATATCAATTAAGACTCCCATAAGCCTACTTAGACCAACTGATAGATGAAAAGAATAATCACTACTCTGTTGTACAGTGATTAACCTGCTGTATGTATGACCGAATTGCGCATATGCAGATCATTTGAGGTAGTCTGTTGCGCACCACACCAGGGCTTAAGATAAACCCTAGGTTCGTGAATACTATGCCGGTAATAAACCCGTGGAACCCTAATCGGTATCTCCTACTAGTATCTAACCAGGTTTCAATCATTCAAAAAAGTGGCCCAACCACATGTAATCTCGGATACTAAGTAGCCTGAGTCCAAACCAAGCCTATATGTATTAGTCGGAATACCAACAATATAGTACGGACTGTGTAACATTCAGATAACATATAACTCAAGTAGCTTACCCTACAAAGTGCCTTATAGAAAATCCATCCCTTATATTATGTAGATACGAGGACCAAAATTCGTCGCTACTTTTTACATTGGTATCAAGATTTCTTGTTTGTTTTATATAGATAATACCAAGAGGTGATCTAGCCGTATCTACAGCCGAAGTGTCGCAACGATGTCCACCCAATAGTTTGAGATGATATGTCTCTCAGCTTCCAAGTTTTCATTTGGGCCATAAACCGTTAAATATTAACCAGGCCTGCGGGCCGTAGCGGAATGAAGTATACTTCCTAGAGTTGTACCGGCCGACTTTGAGTTTATTATAAGCACTGGGGTATTTTTTTGTGCGGGAGTAAGTAAGCATATCGATCATAACGTAGTAACCTGGCCTTGAAATTTTAAGAGGAACATTGCAAGCTATTCTACTCTTCATAATCACTTAGTGGTGGAGTGGCTATGGCATGTAAGCCTCATGTGGTGCTAATTTGGCGCGTAATGTGGAAGTGAGTCTCAGGGGAAATAACAGAGTCATGTGATGAGCTTTTGCACCTGAGGCTAGTTTTCCTGAGGGCCTGTTCTGCTCATCAACATTACATGTCACGATAAGTCTTATAAACACATGAGTCCACATTCTCAAAACATACTACAATCTATGTAATGCTTATGTCTTCTTGTAACCATTATACTTTTGTAAGAGACTTATATGTCATTCACAGGCCGGTAAAGAAGCTTGAATTCAACATGGTAGTGAATTTAGAGAGTGAAAATGATTGATTTCCTGGCTCTCGTTGCTTTAAGAGCGGATTCCAGCCAATCTTTGTACTTAGACCTTTCAACAACTCATTGGCGACAGCTCTGGTATGGTGACTTTGGTATGGTGACTCTGGTATGGTAACTCTGATGGTAACTCTTAGTGACTCTGGCAATGGTAACTATGGCGATGGTAAGTGACTCTGTGGTGACTCTAGCAACGGTAACTCTTAATGACTCTGACAGTAACTATGGCGACGGTAACTCTTGATGATAACTCTGGTGGTAACTATGGCGATGGTAAGTGACTCTGTGGTGACTTTAATAACGGTAACTCTTGATGACTCTGACAGTAACTATGGCGACGGTAACCATGGCGATAGTAACTCTCGATAGTAACTCTTAGTGACTCCGGTAAGTGACTCTGACCGTAACTATGGCGATGGTAACTATGGCAACAGTAACTCTGGTAAGTGACTCTGGAATAAGCTGGTAACGACAATGCTAATTGTGGTATAGTTACTAGGCTGGCAAAATAGCATGAGGGATACTGGGGTGGGGCAGAGGCGGAGGCGGGGCGGGGTTGGGCGGGGTTGGGCGGCGGCGACGGATGAGAGGGGCTTTACAGTGGCTTGTGAACATAATCTAGCTTATAAGACTGATACAAACCATAAACCTTACAATAGTATAATATTTCTGTGACTTGAGAGCATTATAGAAACTGTGATCTTACAAAACCCCTAAGATACACCTAAGACTTTTATAAACAAATAGCTTTCCAAACCCATAAGCCTAGATTTGAAAATCAGTCTTATCTACATGTAATCTTACCAAACTTGTGATGCGCCCTTAAGCATTGTGGAAAACAACGTTCAAGAGTCTAAATAAAGAGTCACGTTACTGTAACGAAAAAGAGAAATTGTTATCTGTCCAGACTGTAAAGCTTGTGATTCATAATGATCTAAGTACATAGTTTCTGGTGTTTTAAGTTTCTATTGCCAAGCCAATAGTGAGTTTCTCGCTTCACATGGATTTTGTGAAGATCGAGTAATGCTCCGATATAAGAGCCGCAACCTTGGTGCCACAGTCTTGGCTGTGACACGTGGCTCAGTTCCACACAACCTTGCGGAGCGTTTCTCGCATCAAAAACAAAAACAAAATCAACAAAACCATCAGTAGAGAAAACCACAATCCACGCAGCGTACCACGTACGCAAAATCAGCCACATGTCCATAATCACCAGCAATCCTCCATATAGCAATGGCTACTTAGTAGCATAATCATGATTCAGCAACTCCATCCACATTCATCTCTCCATTCTCCCGCACCGTCGAGCAAAGTCCATTAAGTTTCAGTGCATTCTTCAGTTTATTCACGCTCAATGCCTTAGTTAGTAAGTCGGCGACATTGTCTTCTGAAGGGACATATTGCACGTCTATGACCTTATTGGCATGGTCATCACAGACCGTCCTCAAAGCCACACCAATATGCTTTGTTTTCGACTTAAATATCCCCGTATGGATGGCCTTTAGTGCACCCAAGTTGTCGCAAAACATGCTGATCCTCTTGCAGTCATCCACAGGTTGATTTGTGGCCTCCCTTATCGCACCCAAGATCAGTCTCGTCCAAGTGCATTCACGAGCTGCCAGCGACGCTGCGATGAACTCCGATTCCAACGTCGATCTGGCCACAACGGATTGCTGTTTCGCTTGCCAGTATATTGGTCTGGTGTTGTTCAGAAACACCACGCCAGAGTACGATTTCCTGGTGGCTGTGTCTCCTGCCCAGTCACTGTCACTGTATCCGATCAAGCCTGCAACGGTACTTGAGGGGTACGATATGTGTGTATCCTTAGTGGTCTTCGCATATAGCATCGCATGTCTCACAGCGGTCATGTGCATCCGCAGTGGTGAAGACATATATTTGGCCAATTTACTCACAGTATAGGCCAGATCCGGCCTGGTGGCCACTGCCAGATTGTTAGACCAGGGTTCAAGAAAGATGAAGTATCGATTGAACGGTAGTCACCGAAAGATATAAGGCACAATCTTAGGTTTGTAAACTAGAATATATTTTATGGCTCGTGTATGCCTTGTTGTCTTTTCTGAGGTCCTCCCCGGCGTCACTTAAGTACGCAGCTTCGGATCAACAGTCGGACGGCCTATCTACGCTATAGACGCTAGAGAATGCAAGAAGAGAATGATAAAGAGATAAGAACAGTAAAGGGTACTCGGCGGAGACAGCCTGCACAAACTTACGCCCCGTCGTCTTGACGTGTCTTGAGTTAATTGGAAGACCAACACTTTCAACACCCGAGGTGCAGCCGACTAGATAACTATTCGGGCGCTAATACTCGGCTATTGTCGGTAATGTGTCAACACAATGATAACACTCTCCACACAGTCAATCGGACTCTGGATATACCACCAGATAAGGCCTGGGCCGCACAATGTGTAAAATGATCACAAAAAGCTAAAACGTCGAAGTTCTGAGACTTTGATCTTTTTCAGCTTTGACTGCCTCCTTACATATACCCACCGGGTACATTGCGCTTTAACGATCGCCCATTACGACTCCAGGGTTATTTTTGGGTCCGAAAAAAACTTTTTTACTATGGGATTGTAGCAAGTGCACACTTTTACCATACAACTCACGGAGAAGAACCTGCGGCGCAGTGAAGTACTTGTGTTTATTCTCAAGGATAAATCTCAGTAACATATGCACCGCTAAGGTCTCTCTCGTAAGCGTGGTTGCCGCGTTGCGTTGCTACCTCCCATACTAAAACCGTTCTTGGACCGGGTGGTATATGAAATGGAGGGTACTGTTCAGGCAGGGTAACAATGAATGAAGGGTAAATATGAAAGATGTGTACATATGTATAACACGTCCCCCTCCTCAAGGTTGGCGTCCACGACAATAAAACAACTTAATGAAATACACGAAATAAAATGAAATAAAATCAAATAACTGTAAGATGAGTTGACCGTTAAAAAACCTTTCTTCAATGCAAACAAAACTTAGAATAAGCGAAAAATAAATCATTGAAGTAAAAGGAAAAAGGTAACAACTCAACCAGAAGGAACCCTTGGATCGCGAGGCTTCTTGGGATAACGACCGTGAA